AACTTTAATTATTAATAAATATTTACTATTTCAATATAAAAAAATATAAAATGATATCATACCATTATTTCGATTTTGTAAATGTATTATTATAGTATTGATATTGAATAAATATTGTATCAGTATCGTAAAGATATTGAATCAATATTGAATTTATAACAAATCGATGTCATATATATATCATTTCAATATTGTATCGACATCATTTTGATATAAATATGATATTGAATCGACATCATAACTTTATTGTATCTATATTATATTAATACCATTTCAATATTAATATCATATTGATATCGTATCAAAATCATTTCAATACCATTTAGATATTATTATCGATATCTTATCGATATCGTATTTGCATCGAAATGATATAGTAAAGATAAACTTAACAATCTCAATTTGATTATCATCAAAGTATGGTAAAATTATCGTTAGAATTTTTTGAGTTTCTGTAAAGAACTTAATAACTAGTAGTTCAAATTTTGATATATTATAAATATAATATATATTCATTTATTATATATTAAAATTTTATTTAATTTGAATCATTAGATATTATGAAAATCAATTTAACATTATTTAAAAGCTTCAATATTTAAAACAATTTTTAATTTAACGTTTATATCAATATTTTAATATTTAGTAATTGAAATTATCTGAAATTTTGATATGATATATTTGAGATTTTATCTAAGATATATCAAAATTTGATCAGATTCTAATTGGTGAGATTTGAGAAATATGATATCAAAAATAATGTTCAAATAACTAAGATTACCCTCTATATACTCTCCTATCTGACCATCTTAAAAATGATAAAAAATGATAAAAAATTAGTATTTTAAATAATAAATTTATTTTTATTTTTAAAGTTTAAAGTATAAGACACTATTCAAAAGTGTTTTTTCACTTAATTGATAGTAAAATTTTATGAAAATATTCAATTTTTAAAATGGCAAAATTCTCAACTTTTTAACCAGAATAGTTATAGCAAAATAAATGTCAAATATTGATTTCTTATCTAAAGGATAGCTTATTTTTCTAATACTAGGGAACGGGATCTGTTCAAAGTCCAAAGCATGATATGGTATATAAATTATATTATCATATTTCACATGATTAATAATTTTGTAACACAAAAGACATAACACGTGATAACGTAAACAAAATGTCAGTAGTTATCAGGCTTGCCAAATTTGAACAGACAGAATGACCTTGCATTTGAATAACCTAGAAGTAAAATGTCCTTCGCTATGCTTCGGATAATCAGAAAGATTAAATTATTAGTTGTCAAGAAATCTGCTTTTAAAATTATTAAATTCAGAAAAATGATGATCTATATAGAAAATTCATAAAAATTAATGATATTTGTAAGCAGATTTTTCAACAATTACTGATCTGATCTTTCTAATTTTTGAAATATAATCCTTCTTTTAGTCAAAGAATTGATTTTTAGCATTTATTTTACTATAACTGTTCTGATTAAATAAACAGAATTTTTTCACTTTGAAAATCAAATACTTTTGCAAAATTTTACTATCAGTTAAGTAAAAAACAATTTTAAATAGTTTTTTATACTTCAAACATTATAATAAATATAAAATTATATCAAAACCTGATTTGTTTTTTAGTTTTTAGGATGGTTAGATACTTTTTATAAAGAAGTGTATAATAGATTACTACAATTTAATACTTGTTATTATCAGTTCCTTTTATTTAAAATACCTTTTATATATATTGATGTTTTATCTTCAAACTTCTCAAACAAAAACAAATTACATTAAAATGGTTAAAATTAAAACTCACTCTGATAATCCTTATAATTATAAAATCAATAATTTAGCAAAATCCTTTTTTCATGATACTCTTATTTCTTTTCTCTTCTTCTTTCATGTCCTTTTTCTTTCTTATATTTTAATCTTTCAAACTAATCTTATCAATAAAGAACTACTTTCTTTTTTTAAAGATTATATTAATTTAATTTTTTACTAACTTTATAATTTTCAAAGAAATAATTATTACAAAAACAAATCTATTAATTGGCTTTGCATTTTTAATCTCATTAATTATGACTAGTAGTATCAGCTGTTGGAGCCAGAGTCGATGACTGAGTCAATTTTGCAAAAATCATTTAGAGTCAAATTCGAAATTTTCAATGACTGAGCCATGACTGAGTCACTGTTCTAAATTTGATATAAGGTCAGAAAATTGTGAATTTTAATTAAATAAAACTTCAAATTTTTAATCAAATGGGATTCTTGTCAATATTATTTATAATGAAACTTATAATTATCTATTTTTTTGCAACATTAATTAAATTTTAAAAATTTTTGATTAATATCAAGATATTAATAATATAATTATAGTCGCTAATTCCAAATAAAAGTCTTGACTTAGTTGATGGCTGAGTCGACTGAAAAGTCACTAACAGCTGACTGAGTTAACTTCAGAATTTGTCACGACTGGTACTACCTATTATGACTTTAATGATAAAACTTCTTTTAAAGAATCTTATAATAATAAACATAGATATCCACTTCTCTTAGAATAATTATTAATTCTTAAATTTCTCAAATTTATCTCACTTGATCTTTATAATTCTACTTAGAAATGTTGTCAATATAATTCTTATAGAAAAACATTTCCTCTATATATACCCCTTATCTTTATCTATTTTATAGAAAAAATCATCCCCTTTTATTTTTACTAACTCATTACTAATAATCAAAAAAACCCCTTACTATCTTATTTACTTTTTATGGTTTAATTTTTGAACAATCTATTAATTCAATATGGAAATCCAGATATGCTTTAACTATTACCAAAGAGCTTACCTATAATATTACCAACAAAAAAAAAACAAAATAAATCTATTAGCTCTCATAATACTTTTTTACATACTAAAAACATTATAAATAATAATATAAATCATTTAACTTTCTTTTTTAACTCTTTTATTCATGGTAAATCTTAGCTTTTTTTAACATAATAAAAACTAGTTGTCTTAAACACATTTTTTTTTTTGTCATATACTAGCTCTGTTCAATTCTGTTCCACTTTAATTTGATCTGATTTTTATGAAATTATTTTGACTAATTAAAAAATGGCAAGAATTGAATAGATAAATGCTAAGTTAATTTGTTCCATTTTTAAATTTTAACCAATCATGTCAATTAAACATGATGCAAACTATGCTTTATTCTTATTAATAATGGAGGAGATAGATGATCTTTTAAAAATGAACTAAACCTAAATAAACTAGATAATGATAATTATGAACTAATAAAAATAGTTCTTCTTGCTTTATCTTCTAGTCATTATCTTGTTTCTTGAATATATAATGTTGTTAAATCTAAACATTGGTAGTATGAAATCTTATCTTTATATGATGATATATGATATAAAAAAGTATTAAGAATGGAAAAATAACAATTTAATAGGCTAGTACAAATCTTACAGCATAATATAGTATTTTAAGACAAAGGAAATAAGCCACAAGTATCTGTTGATTTTCAATTAGCAATATTTCTTCGACACTTAGTTCTAAAGATGATATCATGAGTATTTGTTCTCAATTTGAAGTATCAGAAGGTTCTGTAATTTTTTATGTTAATCATGTAATGAAAGCAATAAGAAATAAAAAATCAGAATTTATTCAATGACCTAAAGATAATAATCACAGTGTTATTCATACAGGATTTCAAAATATTGGTGGATTTCAAAATGTTATAAGAGCTATAGATAGAACTCATTTTAATTTAACTGAGACATCAACATAAGATCTAATAGCATACTTTATAAAGAAAAAAAAATATGCAATTTAATGTCAAGAAATTGTTGGTTTTAAAGGAATTTTTATTAATTATATAATAGAATGGCCTGGATCGATACATGATGCACGAGTTTATAGTAATTCAGATTTTTATCTTAATAGAACAGAATATATTCAAGATGAAGATTATGTGCTAGGTGATTCAGCATATTCAATTTTTCTTTTTTTAATATCTCCTTTTAAAAATCCTTCTAATCATAGACAATATCAGTTTAATTTTATTCATTCAAAGCATAGGGTTGTTGTAGAACATGCATTTGGTAGATTGAAAGCTAGATTTAAAGTTTAAAAGAAATCTCTGTTAAAGATTTAAAAACAGCTATTAATTTAGCTGATTATGCTATAATATTACATAATTTTTTTGAAATGAGTAACGAAACTTGGAAAATTATAGAACAGAATAATTATGATAATAATAATCAATATAATTTTGATAATGAAAGTAATGAGATTTTAAAGTTAGAAGGAGAATTTAAAAGAGAAGAAATGTTAAATCAATTTGTTGTATAAATAAATTCTAGAATAATTAGTAA